GTGATATCAATTTCTAGCGATGCGACATGATTTAGTAAGTGAGGAAGTGCATGTTTAATTCTTTGATGTCCAAAGTTCGTACGTGATCTTGGTATTTGCCATGGATGTATTTGACGGGTTTGATAAATTGCAATTTTCAAATGAAGGTCAGCGAGGTTCAGAAATGTTTCGGATTTACCTTTTAGGGCCGATTGGTACGTTAATATTAAGCGTTGACTGTAAAGTTTTGACACGTCGGTTATGGAAAATTTATCAAAGAGAGGCAATGATGGTGAGGTCGTAGGAACATTGGCTATTGCACGAAGAGCTTTTTTCTGCAGCACGCGGAGCAAATTTAAGTTGGTTAAACCAGTGGATCCCCATATCAGATGCGCGTATCCTAAGACGGGGAAAAATAATGATTTAAAAATTTGAAGTTTGATATTGGTAGGTAAAATGTTTCTATATTTGTTTATTACTCCAACTATTTTTGAAAGTTTAGTACGAACATATTTAACATGTTCAGACCAGGACATGTTAAAGGAAAAAAATACACCCAGAGTTTTGACATTTTCAACACAATGAATAATATCAGAACCATATTTGAAAGGAAGAAATAAATTTGTTTGAGTTCTAGAATGTAGTTGAAATATTACAGCCTTGCTCTTATTAGTATTTATATGAAGGGAGTTAATTTCGCACCAACATTTTAATTTAGATAGAACAATATTTGCTCTGGTAACAAGATGTTCATAATTTTTATCAGAAATGATTATACTCGTATCATCTGCGTAAATTATAAAATTTACATCAGGGTCAATAGTTACAATATCGTTAATATAAAAAAGAAATAGAAGTGGTCCCAGAATGCTTCCCTGGGGAACACCAGAATTAATACCTAGCAAAGAGGACATATGGTCGTTGATTGAAACATATTGCCGACGACTTTGAAAATATGATTTTAACAAAGAAAAAGAAACACCCCGAAAACCACATAAAAATAATTTATCTAAAAGAATACCATGATCAAGACAGTCGAACGCTTTACTGAAATCTAAGAATATACCGACTGTTGACAACTTTTCTTCTAAATTGTCCTGTATTATCTCTTTTTGGTGTAAGAGTGCACACTCGGTTGACCTGAATTTCCTGAAACCAAATTGAGAGTCAGTTAGGAGTTTATGCTTATTTGAAAAATTTGTAATTCGCGTGTGCAGAATTTTTTCGAGGCCTTTTGAGAAAATGAGAAGAATAGAAATAGGTCGGTAGTTCCCTATGCAATTTCTATCTCCTTTCTTAAACAATACTATTACTTTCGCGGTCTGCATACCCATGGGAAATGTTCCTGATGTCAGAGCAAGGTTGTAAATATGTGTTAAACAAGGCGCAATGATATCTATGACAAGTTTAACAGGTTTAATATTTATGTTATCAACATCGCAACTGTTGCTGTTGCGTAAATTGTCCATCGCCGCATAAACTTCGTGTTCATCGGCAGGCGTCATCGGATCGGAGTTGAGGCAGCGATTTTATTAAAGTGGAAGCTCCGATCCCGCAGATTTTTGTAAATCGTGCTCGCAACTAAAGTAGCTTTCGATGTCTTTTTTAGCCTTTGCGTGTGAATAATATATATATATTTTTTTTTGCGTAATTATGGATAATTAAGAATACCAAGAGGAAATTCTTCTGATAAAGGTCGAAGGTACTTTGAATTTAACAGAATCCGATTAACAAAAGCTCCGATAAACCAGGCTCTAAATTTCATCATTAGTAAACAATAAAAATCTGGAACCCTAGTTATTAATTACTGTTTATGGGGCAGAGTACGGAGCGCGACGCCGCGCGAACATAAGGTCGCTCATTTAGCCGTTTTTTCTCTCTTAAAAATGAAAGGCTATCATTTGCGGCACCAACCTACGTGAGAAAATTTGTTGTGCACGTGGACACTGTTTAATTTAAATAAAAGGAAAGAAAAAAAATCAGTTGTGGTTCTAATCCACGCTGTGAAGGTAGTTGGACAGCAAAGCTGTGGTATCACCTGCAACGATTGCCCACGGCACTATAGACCCTTTCTATGGCCAACGCCACCAGTTCGTGCTCCAGTTTTTGACGTCCCAGAGAACTTACGGTTTATAAAAAGAATGAACCAATGGCGAATTCCAGTGGGCTTTTTGGAGCGCGCCGGGATCAGTTGACCAGATCCAGAATGGAGCACACGATCCGAACGGGGTCGCGCCGCCTACAGATCCCCCAGTGGAACATGACCACTGCTCCGGGATCGGCGGATGCCTTCCCGTCATTCAACTGCCCGGGAATCCCCTTTCCGCGGCCGCCGCGGTCGTTTCGAAGACGTTTTCGCAATCGCGGCGCAAACACGTGTTCGACGCACGAGCGGCAGGAATGGCTCAGGAGCTTCTTGCAAAGATTGCCGGAATGCCCGTAGCGCCGGCAAAACCTCCTCTTCTCCTTCCTGGAAAACGAACCGGCTGTCGAGCCAAGGGGCAAGCAAGCGGCCATTACGCGAACTGGGCGAGATCAGGCGAGATGCCCCGCGAGAAAGGAAGTCACGTGTGTGCGCCGAGGGCTGGCCCGGCTGGCTTCCGGTTGAATCCGCCGAAATCGTCGGAGCGACTTTTCTCAGATCCAGATCGAGATCTGGAGCGGGAGCTAATCCAAAACGACCAGTGAAACACGTCCGTCTCGATCCCGATCGCCCGGTGAAATAGGCTCGCTCCAGAAAAGTCGATCCCGGCGCGCTCCAAAACGACCTGTGGAATTCGCCATAAGGAATCACAAGTGTGTGAACGGGCCTTTAATAACCGGTATTGTCTCAGTCGGTCGGAGTCGAGCGCAAGTCTGTGCACGGGCCTCAACATGTGACGTCACCCGCGCCCCGCCCCCCCCCCCCCCCCCCCCCCTTCTTTTACGAGCGCTGAAAAATTTGAATGTTGGTTTCAGCATATCACCCTCATTTTCCGTTTTCTCAACGGCTTGTTTGAATTTAGAGATACTAAATAGCACGCCGGAGAGAGTCGGGTCTGAGTATTTCGAAAATGTGTATAACTTAAATACCCCCCTCCCAAAAAGAAAAAAAAAAAAAATTGGAATTCAGTTTTGGAGTTAACCTAACTAACTACATTTTTGGGAATACCCGGCATTTACTCTTCCCGGCATGCTAATTATTACGAGTAAATACAAAACAGTTCGAAATGACTGCAAGTGAAGGTGATGCTAAAACCAACACTCAAATTTCCTCGCGCTCTTCAGTGGGGCGACGTCACATGCTGTAGGAATTGCAGGTTCAACGGCAAGCAGTATGTCGCAATTTTTTTTTTGTTGTTGTACTGGAATAAGGCTTTTTCAGCATTTACTTTGACTTAAAAATTAGTGCTGAAGAAGCTCGTTTATTTGCGCACGCACACCACAAATTCTCCAGGTGAACGCCAAAAGAACGAAGGAGTGCGAGATCTGTTAAAATGTTTCTAGTATTCTTGTAAACCAAGTTGCCTCCTCCAAAAGAATGGGGTCGCCGCTGAGCACAATGAGCCAAAACACGTAATCGCAAGTAATAAGGTTGTGCTTCTCGAAAAAATACGCGGACAAGGAGGTATACACGACGTTTCGGGCGGACGCCTTTCTTCAAGTACACCAAAACTTACACCAAAATGTAATATTGTACAGCCGAAGGCCCTCGTTAAATCTCCAACTTTGTTGTCCGTGTAGCATTTATGATTTCTAGCACAGGTGACGTAATCAAGCTCAACAGGCTTGCAAAGACGGTGCGACCGGCAGTCGCTCGGGACGCAAGCGGCAGCGGGGAGCGCTACGTGGTTCGCAGTGTCCGCGCACGCCTTATCTATCATGTGGTTTTGACACTTGTTTTGCGATTTTCTTATTGAAACAAGTGTCAAAATCACATGATAGAGATAAGCCGCACGCGAACGGTGATAAGTCGAGCGCGATGGTTTTCTGTCGACTACTGTTCTGTCGACGGACACGAAAAAAACCCGACCAACGAGTCATGTACAGCTTCGCTGAAAAAAAAAAAAAAAAAGGAAGAGGAGACCGCCCGATGTAGCTCTCGCGCTAACTATGCCGCCCGGTGTGCATGGCGAGCGTCTTCTATGCGCACCTTGATTTACCATAGGAACTCAAGGGATCCAGATAATGAGAATCCAGAAATTACTTCTCCATACGTGGTAATTTTAAACAGACTCATCCATTTAGCAGTTGTCACGAATGACCGACACAGATGGCACAAGCGACGACGTCATCTGGGGAAAACAGATGCATGATGCATTAATCCATTCATCTGGTGCTAGTAGTTTTCGTTGTGCCCGCCGCGGAGAATGCTAGCTTTCAGTTTGGCAAGTAAGGCGTCTAGATTAATGTTCTCGTCCCCAAGGTGAAAAATCTACTCTCTGCTGATTTGGCCATGGTGTTCAGTACACCTCACATCTCTAGGGTCTCATTAAACCACGGAAAAGGGTATTTGGAGGCGAGCCGGTTCCAGACGCACGCTTCCATCCATAAATCGCAGATCGCAGAAAGCCATAAATAAATAAAATTGAAAGGTCTGTGCCGCTTCCTTCACGCGCAAGAAGAGGAAATCCCCCCCTTCCCCCCTTCCCCTCCTCCACGGAAAGTGACGGGTGTTACGTATGGATAAATAAAAATCCGGTTTGCCCGTATCGCGAAGCGGCGGATGCATAAGACAGCGCACTCCCGCGAAAGAAAAAAAAAAAAACAAAACAAAACAAAAAAAACATTGGACCTCTACGTCATCAGCGTCTCATGGAGGCACGAAAACAAAAGGGCATTCGCGAGACGATTATTGTGAGCGCGTCGTGTAATCGCCTTCTCGGGGAATCTCCGTAAAGTGACACCGGCAGATGCAACGACCAGTTAAAAGCCCTTTCTCTCTCTCTTTTACTGTCCCTCGCGTGCAGCTTGAGCTTTCGAACTTGCGCGCAGGCTGTTCGCCGACGACAGACAACCCAAAGACGCTGCCATCTTTCAACATGTGCACGTCGGCTACAATATGTAAGTACAGGGCAACCTGGGGGCACTTGTAGATCTAAAGTGGCGAAGCAGGCGAGTTGGTTCGTTACTTCTAAAATTGAAAGCGATAACAATACACAAGGACGAAAAAAAAAAAGGCGAACAGGACGAGCGCTTCGTCATGTTCGTCTTCCTTTTTGCCTTTTATTCGTAGGTTAAGCGTCGATATAAAAGTGCACGCGATCTTCGCCATTCAACGGCATCGAACGACGGTACACAGCGCGACGCTGACTAGCGCGAACGCAGTATCAACGGCTTTTCGCAATTCACTTCCAAGGGGTATTGGCGGGCGCCAAAGATTACAACTTAGGTTAATGCTCCAAATGTGTACTTTCCACCACACTGGTTGTTTCGATGAAGCCTTTTGATTCTAAGGAATAAGCGCAGAAAACACGCTATCCCTTGTTCGTGCTAACAGTGTCGCGCAGTGTACAAACTGTATTTGGTTTCAAGAGTACGCGCCGAGAAACTGAGGGAGAGGAGGTGGAGACGAGAGGAGACGAGCTCGACGTCCCTCTCGTTTCCTCCTCCTCTTCCTCAGCTTCTCGTAGCATAGGGCTGTCCGATGCGTGAATACTACTTTAGACAGTAAACACAGCAGAGTAATGAACGTTGCAGAAACATTAAAAAAAAAATCCACGCGGGTTTGGACAATGCCATCTAGAGTATTGAAGGCCTCCGAATAGACCCATCTCACGAGGATTTGCGCGACGCCACCGCTGCCGCGGTGCATTCTGGTAGCTGTAGTTCTCCCCAGTTTTCCGGCCGCGTCGGCGCGCACTGTACGCCCGGCGTTTGGAAATTTTCGGGTTAGCACGAGACTTTTAGCCTGGTGTTGACTCATGGTTTTCAATCGGTGGCTTCACATGTTGTATGCCACGGAGCTATAATAACAGCACCAGGCAAAAAGGCCTCGGATATTATGTCTTCCCGCAAGAAAGAAGCCTGGCAAAGAAAGGTCAACAGAGCCGGACAGAGCGGCAGGAAAAATAGCGTTTTACGATTTGTTTCGCGATTTGCCTCATAATTTATATCCAATTATGGCACGTCAGCTAAAATATGTAAGATTACAGGGCACGAGACATAGAGCGTGCCGATGTGTTCCGTAAGCTGGAATCTCTCTGACCATTTGCTCCGTCTATTCGTTGGTCTATCTCAAATAGGACATCCGCACTGCTTTGCGGAGGCCGTTTTTAATACACTTCTTACTCGGTGTATTTTGGTGGTTATAACTGTTATTGCGACGACACGTTTCAAGCACAACTGTGCTTCAAAAGATCGGGACAATAACTAAAAAAGAGCAGCGATTCCCGATATGAACCACTTGATATAAAACAACTTTTTTTTAGGAAGCAGCCTTCATTTTGTTTTCATACCAACGCGAAAAGATTACATAATGCAATTTAGAAGTGCAACACGTACTTACCGTCAAAAATGTAATAAACGAACCTGATCTATTTTGTGGTGGTCTATTAGGCTGGTGTTACTAATCCATTCTGCACTATAGCACCAGTCGAGACCGCAGAAAAAAGCTTCCCCCGTCGGGCGACGTTTAGCGTTCGGATCTTGCGCAAACAAAAAAAAAACTGGATAGAAACTGTGCACGAAAAATTATCTCCACCCCAAGCTTTCAGTTATCTGGCATGGTTACTTCTTTTTGATATATGCCAATTATTACGGCGCATCAGCCATGGCCTTTCTGTAGATCAGTTGTTTGTGTACAGGCTTCTCCCGCTGTTCATCTGTGCTCTGTCGCACAGGCTGTCAACCAGAATGAAACAACTTTTAGAAAACTATCGCTGACCGAGAAAGTCTATTTAGCTCCTCTTAACTGATGGCTGATTAAACGTTATCCACAAGACTGAGCGCTACCAAGCTCAGTTTTTCATCACATTTGATACTGTTCCGTGGTGCTACACCGAGCCGATGGTGCCTCGAATTTGCTTGTTCTTTGCTATTGCACTAGATGTTCACTAATTTGCAAGGTAATTGAGACGTCCGAGGAGTCGGAATGCTCGAGTAGTGGCGCCGTTGTTTTTTTGTTTTGTTTTTTCTGCGGCAGCAGTGGGATTACCCCGTGAACGGCAGTGGGGTCACGCGTTCACGAAGACGAAGAAGCAGACGACGACGAAGCAGACGACGACGAAGCAGACGACAAAGCGATTCTAAAGCGATAAGACGACTGAAACTGCTTTTCTGCCCTTGCTGAGGAAAGTAAGGCATCACAAACTCACAAACAACACAATCTTATGAAGTAAAAACATGCAAGAAAATCAAGGTGATACCGGGGCGTACCAAGTGATAATCTATGATGATGTACGTACGCGCAGCCGTATGTAGCCGGGAAGCCGGGAAGGGATGACTACAAGTAGCATGGCGGCGGCACCACTTCCGGAATGCGCGCGCCTGCGCAGTTCGCTTGGTGACATCGGTCTATTAACGCCCCCACTCTTCCTCCATGGGACGTCATCACAGTCGGATGGCGCCAACTCAGCTATTGGGCCCGATCCCGACGCCGGGCGTCGTTCGACGCGTTGATTGGGCGCGAGGCCCAGCCGAGCACTGACGCAGCACACGTATCCAATCGGTGTCTTCGCGCGATCTCACCGTGATGACGTCGAAATTCTGGTTCCTGTTAGGCTTGGATTATTCTATAGGTGGAGTTGGTTTGGGAGGATTTCGAAATTTGGGGGAGCTACAAAGATTTCACACGCAACAAACCTAAAGCCACGTTTTTCTTTGTTTTTTTTTGTTAGTTTTGTCAACGGGTTCCAGTTAGAAGAGAGAAACGCAAGTTTAAAAATTTGAAGTGAAAAGGAGCAATATGTTCTTGACCCTGAGATGCCGGTTAGATTAACATCGCGGGTATTAAGCAGAGCACTAAAACCTCAAAATTAACGAAATCGAGAGCTTAGAACGTCCCAGCTTTAGTATACACACAGCCACGAAAATGTTGAGAAAACCCGACACGGACGTTTCCCCAAGCACGTAGAAAGCAAGGGCATCCATTTTCATCGATTTCAATTCAAAACATGGTATTTCTCCTAAAAAAACCCAAGTACACGAATGCAGGAAAAGCAAAATTACGCAAACACTGGCAGCAAGACAGAAGCACGTATGGATAGTTCACTCTTTGGATAGACCGCAGCCGCAGCCACCATCTACCCGGCCCCCACTGCAGTTTGACGTGATACGCGTTGTCAGGTGCAGTAGACGCTTTGCCAAATTATGCAAGCACCAAAAAGAATGTTGAGAACGCAAGTACACGAGCTGCACGCACTCGCTCGATCGGTATAAAAGATTCGAAGTAAATAACCAAAATAAGGCGTTGGAGGACTCACGTGCAGGGTGCCATATTTCTCGTAGATGCAGACGCTAGCACGTGCAGCACGTGTAGCAACACTCGCAGCATGTTCCTTGGCACCTGGGTAATTTAGCAAACGGTCTATTCACTCAATCCGGGAAATCACCTGGCAAAAGTATTCTTGCTACGCCTTTAATGATTGGAAGTGTGCGAGACAACTCCTTCGCTCATCGCTCTTCATCGGTGACGATTTTTGAATTTGACCATAATTTATAGCCGAAGTTGCCCCGGATCGGCATTCATGCATAAAAAAAAAAAAAATCATTATGTGAATTACTACAAATTAAGGTTAGTTCGGACATTTAGGTTGTGGGACCCTGTTTACGCTTTCAAAAACCAAGAAAAACTACGGTAATCGTGAGCTGCTCGCATAATTGTATGCATATTCCTCCACTGTGACGACGTCATCGCTGAACTTCGCTATCCATTCAGGGTGCCTGCTGTCGCTGATGCTGCTTGACATTACGAGTACCATAGACATTAAGGGATTCTGCCACAACGAGTCGCATGACTGCGAGTGTGGCCCCGACGGCAAGATGATAAACGTGAGAGTTTCTGGGTAAGTTAGTTACCTTTTGTTTTCCCGTTCTTGTTTTTGCAGTCATCGTTAAGTATTTTTGTTTTGTTTTTACTAGCTGAGACTCTTCTAAATATGTTCGTCTACAGCGCGTTTTTTTTTTTTTTGTATTACCTGTTTTATCAGTCAAAGTGCACGAGCGACGAGTGGGCTGTGACAGGAACCCCACCTTCTACTATGTACGCTCGTACTCGCCGCAAACACTGCCTTGTAGTTATGCAAAAGTAGTACATTATATATACACAAAAATAAGTTTTGGGCGCTACTTGTTGAACATATTCCAGTAGTAAAACGTAGGCGTCAATTTTACAACTTTAAATAGAAAAAAAAAAAAAAAAACCTATCTATATCGAGTGTCCGCGAGAAATCCGAACCCTGTTTTTCGCATCGCAATAATAAACTAGATATTGCGGAGAGCTCAAACTTCGTCAGAACGTAGCCCAGCCGTTCGAGCTAGATGCCAAAGTTTGAGCATCTTATTCAAAAGTTATAACTGATTTTCTTACATTTTCAGTGGGAAATGTGGCCCATTTTCGCCCGTTTTCAGTTTCTGGTGCCATATATATATATATATATATATATTCGGTTTTCGGTTTTCTCACGGACGTATATATATATATATATATAGCGCTCTATGTATTCGAGAGCTCAGTCGGCCGCCATTTTTTCATTGAAGATTTAAGGTCACGGTTGGTGCTAAAACTTTGACATCTTGCTCGAACAGCTGGGGCTACGTTCTGACGGAGTTCGAGCTCTCCGCGATGTCTAGTTTATTTTTGCGGTGCGAAAAACAGGGCTCGGTTTTCTCACGGACGCGCGGTATGTCTAGAGTGTTTATTTAATCTCACATTTATTTAATCTCACACACAAAAAATGGTTAAGACATTTAAAAATTTATGAGGAAAATGTTTTGTTTTTCTTTCGTTTTCTCGTGATTTAGAGGGCCCATTTCCCCGAAAAAAGAAAAAAAAATAACTACGTTGTTTCTTATAGACATTTTGTAACAGAAGTCAGCATTTACTACCAGCAACTATAGGCATTTTTACCTCAAGAAAAAGGAAGTTTTGCGCATTGTTCATGCGCCGAGCGAAGTAGTTATTACAAGATTTAATTGTCGGAGGAAGAAGCGATCCTTTTGGCGTTTTAAGCCTGTACGTCTTTATAAAGTAAGGTGACATATATCTAATCTAAAATTCACCTGCGTATATCTTAAGCATTTACATAAAGGGGAAATTAATAAGGCTACGCGACGAGCCGGACTTTTTTTTAACTACGGTTCTGAGTATAAGATTGAGCTTTGAATTTCAGAAGTGGACTCCATGTTTGTCAGAGCTCACCTTTTTTTTGTTTTCGCGCGACATTTTTTTTGTTTTGTTTTGTTTGTTTTGCCGTATTGTTTGATGTACGTACCAAAGTTTCCCAAAGGACGTAGCCTCCCAAACGCGGACTGTGGCTCTTGGCTTCCCCGCTAAACTTTGGCCCCGACGCTGCAGGTGCAGCTACGTCAGGCGCTTCGAATTCCGGTGTCGGCCCTGCGAGGGCCACAAGAGAGAAAACACTTGCCCAAACTACGCGCTCTGCAAGACCTGTGCTCAGGGCCTGGATGCCTGCGAGACCTGTCCCTGGGGGAGGTACGGCCGCTGGTGCACTTCGAGTGAGTCTCTCTTGTCCAGATCGCTGGACTGCGAAGCACACGCCACCAGGTTAGAGTGGTGACATTAGGGAATTTTAGAATGGGGGTCCCCAGCGCTTTGGGTCCCCCAAGCAGCTTGGGCCGTCGCACTGCGCATGCGCGGACGTTCTGCGCATCCTTTGCTGTGCGACGTCCCAAGCTGATCGGTGGATTCAAAGCTCTGGGGCCCCCTCTTCTGAAACTCTGTATAAGAACGTTTTAGAATAGGGCGCCCCAACGTTTTGCGTCCCCCGAGCAGCTTGTGGGACTCAAAAGCGTTGGGGGCCCTCTATTCTAAAACTCTCTGGTGAGTTTGCCTCCGATGGCTTCCTTGCTTGGCAATCAGCGACACGAGATACGAGAATTGAGTAATTGTACGACTCGTATCTTGATTGCGGAGACATTTGGACGCTTCAGAGGCTGCACACCCACTTGTGGTAAAGAATGAAACCGTAAACAGGTAGTGCAGTGCTTATTCTTTCAGAGCGTTCGCGATTCGAGTTTCGTTTCACGTAGATGTAAATTACAACAACAACAACAACAACAACACCGTCATCATCACCATCATCACCATCACCATCACCATCATCATCACCATCACCATCACCATCACCACCATCACCATCACCATCACCATCACCATCATCATCATCATCACCACCACCACCACCACCACCACCACCACCACCACCACCACCACCACCACCACCACCACCACCACCACCACCACCATCACTACCACTACTACTATCATTATCATTATTATTGTGAATCGTTTTCTCCTTTCCAGTGAGCCGAGTAAATTCTTACGCGTTATGATTTTTCTGGATGATGTAATTAGGAGATGGACACGAGTTCTTAAACTGGATATCATTTCCTGTATCAAATAACCATAAACAGCAAATATAATACTAATGAAAAAAAAAACGACTTGTAGATGTTTTTTTTTTCTTTTCAAATGACGCTTTAGGGTAAGGGCGTGGTGTACTGCTCCAAGGACACTTGTTTTAAGGAAACATTGTGTAAAAGTTTGCTTACTCTTTACAGGAAATATAATTGTTCCAACTGTTTTCAGCATGTTCCTGCCAGAACGGCGCCAATTGCGATAAGGACACGGGCGAGTGCCGGTGTCTGCCGGGTTTCTCGGGCACCTACTGCGAACTCAGAGACGGTAAGTACAAGTTGTTTATTCCTCACTCTTTAGAACTAACACCGTCTCTTATGTGAAACTGCACCGCCCTGAAGTGTTAACACCCGACTCGACTTACAAACGTTGGGCGCAGTCCTTGCTGTTTCAAGAAAGTTTAGAGAACCTCCGTGCTTGAATGTCCAGGCTGCGAGCCACCAGCGCACCCGGAAGGCATCCTAGTAGTCACCATGGTTCCTGCGCATCTACCAAAGATCATCCACTACAACTGCCCCGCGGGTTTTAAGAGGATCGGCGCCGGTACCCTCAACTGCCAGAACGACGGCTCCTGGAACGGCATTCCTCCTTACTGCGGTGAGTACTCGGCGAGTCGAAGGAATATTAAGAACGCATGTTATGGAACTCTGGGCGTCGATTAAAAATTTTAACTGGACTAATCTCCACTCTTTAATCGATTAATTAATCTATTAATCGGTTTTGTTCATTTCCATGCATAATATGTGAAGAAAACAAAAGTTTAAATTTCACTTCATGTTTCTGACTGTGCAATAAACGTCGCCATGTACAATTTCGATTATGACTAAACCTCGATGTCTATAGTTGAGAACAAACCAAACACTCTTTCTCACAGATTATTACTTCACCTGCAGAGGCAATGAGGTTCGTTGGTATTCTCCGGCAAGAGCGAGATCCTTTGATGGTTCACAATAGTTTCTGCTGCGCTAAACGGATCCATTCGCACGACGTTCAAGTGGCCGGGCCACGTATAGCCTCCTGCACTTGTTTGGGGTTACAAATCTCGCCCCACCAGTCTACCTTAGGTCAAAATTATACATAAAGTTTGCCCCTCATACAAGTGTACTCGTCCACGCTTGCGTGGCGAAAGCGTTTAGGGATAAATTTTACTCTATTTTTGGTAGTCAAAATTTAACCGATTAATAGGTTAAAAACTTAATCGCGATTAAAGCATTAATCGTAGGTTAATTGATCAGTTGCCCAGCCCTAGCTAGAGCCTGGGCTTTTCCGTTAATTTCCAGTCATTTTCAATTTCTGTAACTTACTGTTGCGTGCTATATATACACTGCATGTATAGAGACTGATTCTGACCAGGCTCTGATTCTGACTACTTTGCTTTTCAGAGAGACAAGTCCCGTGTGCACCGCTGCCGGACGTCCCGCTCAGTTTGCCGCAGGTGCATCATGCCGGTGCCGGAGTTCGGGACATCCACCACAACGGCACGATCGTGAACTACGCGTGCGCGTCCGGATACGAACTCGTTGGCGCAAAGTCCCTGGAATGCCGCCAGGACGGCACGTGGTCCGCCGATGTCCCTCTCTGTCTCCATGGTAGGCCTTCCAGCGCACTGCCACTATACAGATCTGGTAGCCCGAGAGGACAAGACGAATGGAAGCCCCTGGTTCTTGTTCTAGGAAATGTACGAGCACAGTCGTCTGCTTCTCGCGGTGGCGGTCACGTCAGAAAGACGTCGAGCTCTGACTGGCTCTGATTGAAGGACAGTGGGCAGAGCTCGAAGCAAGCTGCCTTGAGGTCTACCCACTATCCTTCAATCAGAGCCAATCAGGGCTCGACGTCGTTCTGACGTCACCACAACTCCTGCAAAAGAAGCAGACGAACTTTCGCTCCGCATAGGTTTCTTCTAGCCTTCGCCCCCTGAATACGTCACTGGCTGGTTCTGACATTTCGCGTTTGAGTATGTCCGACCACATGACAGCTCCTTCACTTCCACCACGACGCGTTGCGCGGACCTCGGTTGCCATAGCAACCACCTTGTGGTATGCAGTCACTAGCGATCATAGCGCAGTTTGTCATTCTTAAACGCAGACATCTGAACCAGCCTTTACGCGCGCCTGACTATCATCGTAAAAAGGCGCGATTGTAATGATTTTAATAGCTGTTTATCGGTAAAATTCCGAGTCGACGACAGTGACGGCGACGCCCCTTTTTGCGTACACTCTCAAGAATAAAGGGTGTAAAAGGGTGTATCGTTACACCCTTCGTCCCATATAATACACCCCCAAACTTCAATTCGACGTACAGCGCCCTACAGTCGAACAGACGGCCCGAAATTTTACGAGGGGCTTGATAGCCGTATGGTACAACTTATTAAAATAGCTAATGCACGTTTTATTGCATAAAAAAAAATAATCGGGGTTTTCCTGGCCCTATTGTAAAAACTCGGTGTTTTCTTTCTGTGGTCTTTGATACGTACTTTAGATATTTAAAAAGTTATATTGCACCGTTATCAAGCCCCTCGTAAAATTTGGAGTCGTCTGTTCGACTATAGGGCCCTGTACGTTCGAAATGAAGCTTTGGGTTGTATTATACGATGGGACAAAGGGTGCAACGATAACCCTTTTACACCCTTTTTTTCTTGAGAGTGTAGCTTCACATCTTCTCGTAGGAATGTGAGCTCCATCACAACGCTTCAACCGGGCGTTTATTTGCGGTTTACCGTGATCTATGTCTGGGAGTGTGACGGGGCTGCTTTTTTCCAGTTTCAGAGAGGGAGGTTACCTGCTCCACCAAAGCCAACCAGATCTTGGACGAGTATAAGGACACCCCAGTCAGGTATACAAGACAAGCATTTTGGCATACACCATCGAGTAACCAGTGCTGCTCTAACAACCGCATCAGCGGTCTAACGATTTGGCAACCATTTTGTGAAATAATAGACTTTGTCCTGATCAGTAATCACTTGTAAGCAAAAAAAAAAAAAGAAGAAAAAAAAAAAGTCTTCTTTTTGTACATTGTCTGTTCAAAGTTTTTAACTTCTCAAAGCAGTCAGCTTTAGTAATGGCGGCTCCTATGCGGGTTGGTACGGCTCTGATGACACACGCACTTGGTGTCGTTAGAAGGGGGAAAAAGGTTATGGAGCAGAACTACTAGGCTTTCCTCCTTTTATGATACCATCGATTTTACGTGCCGTAGGAAGCAGACTACGCAGCAGCAACGCCATGCTTGAGGCTCGCGGCCTCAGGTGATTCGAAGCTCTCCAAATGCGACATTTGTCAAACCACCACCTCGTGGATTGATATTCACGTATAGTGACGCTCGTAATTTCACAACGACGTCATACTCATTTCGCAGACTGACGTGCATCGGTACTATTTTAACCATCTCTTCATACATCGCCGAAAAAAAAAAATGTTTGTTATTGATGGACATTGCAGGGTCCGCTGTCCTCCGGGCTGCGGACTGGTACCGGGTCCCGTGGTGGGGACGCATCAGTACCACATGGTGTCGGCGCTGTGCCGCTCCGCCGTGCACGCCGGTCGCGTTAACAACGCCGGCGGCGCCGTCCATCTTCAGGCCGCCGGCGCCTACGCGGACTTCCTGCCGTCCACGGCTCATGGCGTGTCCTCTTCCAAGTGAGAAACCCGCTCTCACGAGAGTGATAGCTCGTATACACTGGAAAGCCGCCGCCACTCTGCAAAACACAGCTTAAAGAAAAAGAAAAAAGAAAAGAAAACACGATCGCGAGTTTATTTTTCCAAAGAACACGGAGACAGCCAATCGCGGCAAAAAAAACAGAAGGGTACCAGCGAATGACGAAGCAAAAATATCGTGGGAACAATGAACGTGACGTTTCATCTTGCTCGATTTTTCCCCCGCGCACATCGCATCTTTCAAGTTTTCATTCTATTCCGAGTTTCGTCGTTCGCCGGGATCTAATGTTTTGCCGTGATCGGCTCTCTCTCCGTGTTTTGCGGGAAAGTGAACTCACGTGCGTTTTTTTTTTAGAGCGTATGCGGCTACCGCATGACAACGCAAACCTGATTGTCTAACGTATTCCGCAGTGTGTTCCCCCAGCCAATCAAAACATAAAACCAGATGATGCTGAAATCTCACTGGCCGCGAAGCGTTAGTAAGAATCTTCTCTCTCTCCGTTTCTTCAATGTCAGTGATTACTACTTTGAACCAACGAACGCCTATAGCTTCTTGGTCAGAATACAAAGTAGCCGCGTCCCTTATACAATGTTGTCTCTTTCGTCTTAATTAAATATAGTATTAATGTCTCTTTTTTTTTTTTCAGCATTACGCCATTATACCGAAGTTTCGAGAACGGAAAGGGGTGGCCAACTTGCGATGTAACCCATATTCTATTTCAGCTTTTCCAATTTGGGTACCAGTTTCAAGTTTGTCACGGTGGACGATTCTCAGTGGCGGATACCAGAAGAAGGCGAGTATTGTGCAGGCCTTCTGCACCAACTCCATTGCAGTTAGCGTGGAGCGCAGATGACGTGTAGAACATTTATGACGCGACCGAAGCTTCCGTTGCATTTTTAGTGAATCAATGCTGAAGCCACTATCCGAAGGTTGAATCGGCGTACAAACATTCCTGTCTCAGAGAAGCGCAGGCTCCTCCTTTGAAGCAGCTTCTGCTTAATGCCTTCTGAATCGCCTTCTGAATCAAAATAATAATGTAACAAAAATCGTAAAAAAAAAAGCTTTTACAAACTTATCTCGCGCGAACGATTGATCCTTGATCATTGTCACTACATTATTTGACTAATTCACTGACGGCATGCCATTCGGCATTATCTAACCCAGTGAAAGCATACCTAACGCCAAAAATGATTGTTTGTTCCACAGGAGCACACGATAGTCGGTGACAGGTTAATAACCTAGTGGACGCTTCTCCTTCAGTGCGAGCTTTCTGGCCTTGAGAACACTTCGTCGCACGTGGAGCACTGGGTTCCTGTCACCGACTCTAGTAGTGTTGAAGAAAACAACTTCACATTCATCTCGGACTGACTTTATAGATGACCGCTGCTGACATTGGCGGTCAATACAGATTCAAGTCGAGGCTGCGCTTTAACCTTCAGCCACGTGCTTCGACGTCGTAACCTTGTTGAACGCAACCCGGCTCTCGTCGACTGCAAGAATCGCTATCCGCTTCTCTTGGTCAAGTGGGGATCCGTTTCTCCCGACTGATAAACGGCAGAGCGTCAGGCTCACTTGTCAACACATTTTAGATTTTCATTTGGGGGGAGGGGGGGGGGGGGGGGGGAGGGGAGGGGAGGGCGGGGAGTGCAGTTCCGCTTTTTGCTTATTAATGATAGCAGGAAAACCCTGGAACACCAGTGGACTTTTCAAGGTTTTCCCGTGGGAATTCCTAAAAATCCGATTACACGTTTTCTTTTCTTTTTTTTTTTTTTTTTTGCGCCCTTTTTTAGTTTGTTGCAGCTTTGCTGTATACGTATATTTATTGTAATCATACTCCTTTCTTTAACCATGTGTTGTTTTTTCATCGAGTCTTGTTTTATGCGATTCATACTAAAATATATTATAAATAGACCAACACATTATTTTCACGCTTATATGTTTCGCAGCTTTAGTGGTGTATATAAAGGCTGGAACACATGTGCAAAAAATCAACCGAAAATTGCGCGAAATTCGGAGCACGCGAAAATTGTTTCATGCTATCTTCGAGAAATGATGCTGCACGTAAATGGAAGATATGGTTTCGTTAAAGAGCATATATAAGATTTCGATGCGATGAACACCGGCCCGCGATTCGTTTTTCAAACAATGAAGTGGAACTGATTTTTTATGTTTCAAAATTCGTGCGATTGTTGCATGGTTTTTTACACGTGTTTTCTTGCCGTAAAGGGGCCGTGCAACAATATTGATTAAGAATGTTTCTCATCTTAGACAAACTTACTGACACTAGTGGGACCGAAGAATACTCGCACGCAATGCCTTTGACTAGGAAGCTTCTTTTTCGCCTTGTAATTTCAAGAATAAGGCGAACGCTCTCTTTTAGTCTCTCCCCTTCGCCAAACTTGATGACAAAGTTGTGGGGTCGCATTTCTGGCGTTGTCAACAATGGGATCCCCAGGATTTCCTAATCAAGCTTCGCCATTCCCGCCGTGACGATATTTGCATGCGGCCCACACAGTGGACACGAGCGCCGTGTGAGCTCTCGATTTGGGCTCGTGGCCATCGATACCTCGACGTGCATGAGTGGAACTCGGCGCATGCCCTGTGCTCTGCCAAACCCTGCGCGTGGCTAGGATCAAACACTGGCGTTTTATAATCGGCTCCAGGTCACATGGCCGCTTTTCTGGCTGTGAGTTGAGGGGGTGAACGCTGCTCGTATTTCTCCATTTCCTTTCTTTCTTTCTGCGACTGCCATTGCGCGAAAAAAGGAATGTGCGTGTTTTATGGGTTGTGAATGTCAAGGAATAATTCTAAGCGATATTTACTGAAAGCACAAGAATTGTTACATCGCCCCTTTAGTTGATTTGTCCCAGCTAACGTATTTATTGGTGAGGAAAATACAAATAAGTGTTGTTGTTTGTTTAACGCTAATAACCAGATCACGTGACATGTATTGGTGTTTTGCCTTACCAATAAAGGCGGGGGCTGAAGACCAGCCTTTCACACCATTGAAGGACTGAAGGAGTGAAAAAAAAAAAAAGGTTAAGTGTAACTCGACTCTCGATTATGAACGAATGGATGTACCATTCGCTTGAATGAAAACATTGAGAAAGTGAAACCCGCAATGATTTCACAATTTATTTATGAGGAATAGCCGAAAATAGGCGTCCCTTTCATTCCTTCGGTTCCTTTATGTCTGACCTGAACTGAAATTCGACAGAGATACTCAAGACTGCTTACGGGTAGGAATGCGAAAGCATTCCTACCCGCAGCGCACTCCTACAAGCAGCGTGCTACGTCTTCCTATCGCGCACGGCGCTGCGGCGGTAACATCAGGTGCGGCGAACCCTGCCGGCTTCACGGCGACTTCCGTGACGATGCATCTTCGTGGCTGTGCTTTTCTTTGCGTTTTATTTCTGAAGCGCATCCGCTTTGACCTTGAGCGCATCCTCCCCGAACGCTGGAGAGGAGGCAACCTCCTCTGCTAAAATGGAAAGAGTAGGAAGGAGCTTCCCCTGAACTCTTGACCTGCCACCGACTATAGAATGATACTTAAAAGCAATGGACACTGACCGGGGTATGTTTCTCTATTTGAGACTTCGCAGCCTCAACTTTGTTCCCAAGACCGCTGAGAACGAAAACTTTGACAGCGTGAAACGAACCGTGCTATGTCGGCTATGCAGGGGTTTATCCACGATTCTAAATCTTGGTGGGGTGAGGGGGGAGGGGTTGGGGGACTGGGGGTGTGTGTATACCATAGGTTATGTAGCCTATAGGTTCGTTTATTACTCTGTATAAGAAATTCGGGGGTGGTGGTACTCAGCCTGGTGGTGTGTATAAATCACTAATGCTATGCGAGTCGTGTAGCACTGGGATTTCATGTAATGTGACCCGGGACTTCCCTTTATGCAGGCTGTCCCCAAACATGGATGGACGCTGGAAGTGCTTGCCTTTACGCTGCTCAGCGGAGCCGGCCCTACGACGCTAGTCGCAACCTCTGCAGAAACCTTGGGGCTGAGGTTCCCGCCACCCGCAACGACGACAATGCCACGATGGCCCTGCTCTCAGAATTCCTCGGAGCCAAGGGTACGCCACTCCTAGAACATAGAATGTGCTGTTCTTCCAGCGATGCTATGAACATTCCTGGTTGTTCAGTGGATAGCGAACCTAAGGAAGCAGATGCAGTGCCACCGTAATAGGCTACCTTATTTATAAGACCCAGTGGAATTTCACAAACGATTTTTCGTTTATGTTATACGATAACGATCGTAATATGCGCGAGTATTCGGTTGGCATCATCTGCTCGCTGTAATCTAGTATAGCTCGTTGGTCGAAATGTCACCTGGCCGCTGTAATATGCATTGCGGTGGTCGAAACGCACCACCTTCGTCTATACTACTTGGAATATATTGCTCCCGGCAAATGTAAAGTAAGACCGACTAGCGACATTGTTCTCAGTAAGAAAGCAGCCCGATAACATCAGTGGCGACCATCGACGATCCAATTGAGCTTAAAACAGTCTCAGTACATGGGTGGGGTGCTGCTTCAGTTATTCGCTTTAATGACCTTATTTTGTTTCTTCCAAAGGTATCGGTGCCACCTGGCTCTCAGACCGCGAATTCCAGTCATATGGCGTGGACTTGAGGAGCAACCGGAGCTTGCCGTCCAATGACTCCTGCATCTCTCTCAACGCCCAGAATACCAAAAATCCCCAGGTGGTCATGCAGCCTTGCTCGCAAAGCCTGCCCGTTGTCTGCTCGGCGCTCAAGACCTTGAAGCTTGGTATACGAGTGATTCTTTCTTCTATTAAGTCAAAATCAACAGTTATGTATAACAATGTCCACTCCAGTGGTTCAAGTAGCTTCACTATTTCGTAGGTGGAGCAGACTCGTCAAGATTTGCGAATTCCACGGCACTAAAATGTATAGACGTGGTCGCATTGCTTGTTGGTACCACGTAGGGGCGGTAAAAACAATCCTTTTCCCCTATCTGTGAGCGACATCTTCTAGAAATTCGACATCAACACCTGCGTGCACTCCTTTCACGGGCCCCTACCCGGTTGTGCTACGTGGCAAACGCACTCTGGTTCTTAAAGGGGCCCTGCAATGACTTTTTGACTGGTTTTAATTTGCACCGAACCTGAGCGCACTGAACTTAGTAACTTAATCAAACTTTTCTTTTCTCAAATTTCGCTTTATTTTAAAAGTTATAGGCGAATTAGAATTACAAAAACAAGCAAAAAATAACTTCCTTCATGACGTAGTAGGTCCTGGCTTGAGTGGCCGTGAACTAGAGGGGGGGGGGTAGTGAGCTCATCGAGCGTTCACGGTTGCCGCACTCCGGGTCAACGGCTCGAGAGGGCGCCACTAAAGCATGTGTTGGATAGGCTGTATGACGCGGGCGGCCGGGGCGGCTCGCATTGCATTTGCTGCGCGATTAAAGACTATTTCGGCATAACACTTCTTTGGCCACAAACGACAGCAAACACGGGGTAAAGATCAGTTCAGAACGGGAGCCACTTCGCGCTACCGTACCGCCAAATGGCCAAATCGCCAGCAGGGCCCGCGCCGAAGGCCTTCGGGACGCTCGGTATCGGTCGGATCGTTGAGCCGGTATACGACCGCAGCGCCGCCGCGTACATCCGGGACTTTTCTACGCTGGCCGTTCGTCGTAGCCTCATCCCACTAGTTCTTTCTAGTATGCGCCGTTTTTTCCGCCGCTTGGTGCCGGATATGTCGATGGGTCTTTTCTTGTTTCCGTACTTTATAAACTGCATTTGTTTCTTTTTTGATCTAAAATACTGAACAAAAACTTCTTTTATAAATAATTGAAACGGTTCGCGCCACTTATATTTTGTATTTCGACTACGAAAAAGCTTTTAGCGGCTCTGACCAGTAGTAAGCCTAGGACCAAACACGTCACATTTTGCGCGCTTTCGGTACCGCAGGTCGCCCTCGTCGGTGGAGGTGGTTTCCGCGTCGTCCGGTTAAAATATGACGCACTGATATTTAGTTACTCTCTCCGTGCCCGCTGGCTTGCCCTGACCCCAAGAGACGTAAAAATTGCAAAAAAGGTAGTTGCTTAAATATGATTGCAGGGCCCCTTTAAAGCATGAAATGCTTTTTTCACGCTACCCAATATTTCGTCCGTCCGTTCCTCCGTCCGTCTGTCCGTGCGTTTCCCCCTAAATTTAGCGGGGAAACTGGATTGCTGGTTAGCTCACGTGACGTGAATTGAGGTAACGTGATCCTAAACACACATTCAGTTTCTCCGCTAAATTTAGCGTGAAAATTGATGTCACGTGAGCTATGCACCAATTCACTTTCTCTACTAAATTTAGCGGGAAGTTTGATGTCACGTGACCTGACGTCACGAGACCTATACGCCAATGTGTAGTTTGCCCGCTGAATATATCGGGGAATTTGATCAAATTCAAGGTTCTTTGCTCCCCGAAATGACAATTTAATGTGTTCTAAATCGCTTGGAAAAGATCGCACCTTAAATACTGTATTTCATGCAGGACTTGAGAGATAATTTTTTTTTTTTTTGTTTCAATTGTTTGCTCGCTTCTCTACACGGCCATCCTATCCAGTGTACCGCAAGCACCGAACCATGTTGAGTTGATTAATAATTTTGGTAAGGCGGTTTACCCTGAAATTAACGAATCGGAGCACGGATTTGTTGGCGTTTGGCACCATTGTCAACTTTGCTGGAGGTTTTGATGTGCGCAGTTATGTGGCATAGATTTGTTTAACCATCTAAATGGTACGTTTCCACCGACAGTTCAGTGCGAAGATCCTGGTTCCATCAAAGACGGTTCGGCCCTTGTCGAGAAGTCAGGGTCTTACGGAAGTTTCCTGGAGGGCAGCAGGATCGTGTACTCCTGCAAAGAACTCCGCTACCTGAGTGGGCAGGCGACCATCACCTGCACTTCGAACGGGACGTGGAGCGCCGAGAAACCCCGTTGCATCCCCGGTAATCCGTAGTACACGCACCAACTGCACAATGATAAATGTAAAGCGCTGGGTTTCAAATTTCGCATGGGCAGAGGCCGTTCTATACAGTCGAATCGAATGTGAAAGAGAACGTGGGAGCGTGGACGATGGGGATGATGATGATGATAATGATATTGCGACGGTGTTCTTTGAATTGGATGGTTTTAAATCGAGTCGTGATCGCTCCTCGAAGCTTTCCGACGAGTGTTTAGGAACGTAAATTCGCCTGCCGCTGACGCTTTGGGAAAGCTGTTGGCAGCGAGTATAGAACGTACGTTACGGTATATGTATCACCCGTGGTAGACGATCGTGTTATTTATATATCTGACGTGACTGTTGACCTAAAATAATAATTATAAAAAAAAAAAAAAAAATGTAACGTGGAACTCTGGTAGCTGCATTCCTCACGCGTGACAAACCAGACTCTTGATGCGGTGCCGACTGTTTTTATTTGATAATTTTCGCCAGAGACGCTTGGAGCACGTGTACTGCGAGCCGTTTCTGAACTTGTGCTCTGCATCAAACCCCAAATCTGCCTACAGAAAACTGGAGACCCCAATTCGTCTCTGGAAATTTGCAGTGGTCACGTGCGAGGAACCGGGCCTTCCGGATCATGGCACCATTCGGTTCCTGCCTCCCATTCGCGGTGGCGATCCAAGGAGAGGTCCCGTGAGAGGGTAACGTCTGCTTTTCGAACCCGTTTTTGACTATAGTATGCAAATCTGCTGCCAGATTTGGCGCTCAGAACATGTCGGATCCCTTTCGTTTGTATTTTGTACATCGTTTAAAATTAGAGCATCAGGAATGCCCTAGAGCAGTTCACGTTTTTTTTTATTTTTTATTAATGAGTCATTGAAGCCATGAATCGGGAGAAGAACACATAAATACACGCGGCAGAGCAAGGGAGAAGCGATCGCTCTAATTAATGGTCGTGCTTTTCCGAAGAACACGCCGTCCACCACTCCGGAAGTAGCTCACGCGATGCAACGCTTCCTCTTTCTCTCTCTCTCTCCCTCTCTTTCGCTTTCTTTGTCTCTTACGCTTTTCATGTGCTGTATTTCACTCTGTAGTTAAAGTTACCTTCATCTATTTGACTCGAATCGAGGGTGCTCGTAATTGATTCTGGGTGCTCGAGGAAACGCCCTTGCGAACGTTGTAGAAGTGAACCGCACGTTCTGCGGGTTCAGAGCTACTCAAACTTTGCGTCGCCTCGGATCCCCCCCCCCCCCCCCCCCCCCCCCCCCCTCCCCCCTTCCCAACTATCTTAGAGCCTAGAGGTCAGTCGCGAAGCCCCATTGAATGCGTCTATACAAAACCAACGTGCTACGCCCTAAAACGGAGAAAGTTGAAAGCGTCAATCCAGTTAAATAAAAATCACGTATGACAGAATTATCTACGGCAGGCCTCAAGAGTGTTCGAATCATGTTTGATGTATACAGATGTGTACCTCGAACGTGTCGGCAGACAGTTTTTGTGTGACCAATGGGACCGTCATACAAAGAAGGCCTCAGACAGTGTCACGCACGCACGCACACACACACGAACGTTCCGCAGTTTAGGAACCGCTCCTCTAGAGAAGCACACATTTTGGTTATTTTCTATGCCGTGCTCGCGTGCAGAGATGCGTGATTCGCGGTCGACTGGTGGACTCTTTCAGCGAAATGGGAATTGTTCACGGAGTGGAAGGAACCGAAGATCGTCGCACATGTGAGCGCTTTACCGCCCAACAAATATATATATACTTTTTTTTTAGGTAGCGAAGGTGCATGTGGGCGCGGGTTAGCTGGCGAACATTGAACATTGCGATTAAACCGCGACTATATATAGGGCAAAGGGGGACGCGAATGTGCCTGTTTGTTTCGTCCCTTTGTGTCGTTTTCTCAGGTCTCGGGTGTATCACTAAATGCGGAGTTCGATCTCACCGAGTGCACCATTTGTGGTACAAGCACAAAGAGTGGACGAGTCTGAAGAATTTTTAATTCTTTGCTCTTGACGAATGCGGCGATGCAGGTACATGCATCTCCGTACTGTTCAACGTAAAACGTGAATTCTAGATATTTTTTTCGTCTATCGCTCCCCCCGGAAGCTTGCAACGCAGGCAATGTCTGTCTACGGCAGCCAGCGTCAAGTCATCCAGAACATCAAGGCTGCGAAAGGCTCTACTTCGTTTCAACCTCAGTCCGTGCGCATCCGACGCCACGAGGTGACAGGACCAATCAAACGGCGTGAAAAACGCAAGTTATATACTGGGCCTTCAACCATGTACAGGGTGCCCCACCCCCCTTTCAAAAAAAAAAAAAAAATGACAAAGTACTTTTATCTTAAAAACACATACGCGCACATTATATATATATATCAGTGTGCCGAACCGAAAAAAATACGGGTTCGGTTACGGTTCAGGTTCAGGTAAATTTATTTTGTTCCGGTTCAGTTCCGGTTCGATTAATTAGATCCGCGAACCGGTTCGCGAACCGGTTCGGAAATTATAAATGACAAATTGCAACATCAAAATAAATTACAAATAAAACATCTGAAATCAGCACATACGAAACGGGATACATCGTAGTGTAAGGCTCAGGGATTTCTACCAGGAATGGTTTCTTTATGTGCACTCAAAGGTTACCTCACCGACGTTTACGCATTCGGACTTCATCTAATTGGGTCCGACGCAGTAGCTGTAAAATCCGCGACCTCCTTACAAACCCACTTACAAGTAGAACTCGCTAACTATCCCGCCACCTCGGCGTGTAAGCAATTGAAGGAACAGTGGGGAGAAAATACAGCTTTCTTTATTTGAACTAGCCTTCAGTAATTCAAATTAGACCCTTAAAGAAGTTTTCATTAAACAAGATACGGAATATGAAAAACACTTCACCGAACGCAACGCCAGAAGGACGTAATATGATACATATTAAAATAGAAGAGTTCGCTGTCCCACAAATATGTTAGCTTCTAAGTGCCTATACGAAACCGGATGCATTATTATCAAACTCCACAGCCTTTTCTTTTCTCATTCCGATGGAAGCAAGCTTCAAGAACTCGCGCGTTCTAGAAACGTGTTATGAAATGAGCACACAGCAGCATTTAGGATTTACGAGATTGTAGGAAAAAAAAATCCCGTGACGCGATTTTTTTTTTTTTTTTTTGCACAGCCTTTCAATTTTCTTTCTTCCGTGCAAGCCGCGACCAGCGCAATACTGGTTTCTATGTCAAGATTCATGGATGCAGCGTTTGCCAAGATTCATGGATGCAGCGTTTATATTCCCAAGACTGAGTGGAGAAGAAAAATATGTAAGCGAGGTGTGTGTCAGTTGACGGCACTTAAAAAACAAATGGCATTGATAGCACATTCATTGTCAACAGCGCGTGGCCGAACCGTTTTGACATGAGCCGGTAACCGTTATTTTTTTTCCGGTTCAGTTCCGGTTCGGGTTTATCGCGATAACAATATAACGGTTCGGGTTCGGGTTCAGTTCCGGAAAAAATACCGGTTCGGTTCCGGTTTTCGGTTCGGTTCGGTCCCGGTTCGACACCCTGATATATATATATATATATATATATATATATATATATATATATATATATATATATATATATATACACGCATCGTTGAACGCTCATTTTCCGCCCTGATGAATACCAGTGGCGGTCTGAACCAGACGCCAAAGTTTCAGAACTGACCGTTATCTCATTCAAAAGTTATCAGTGATTTTCTGAAATTTTAAATTGGAAAATAACGGCCGACGCAGCTCTCGAATACATGGAGCTGAATTGCGCCAGTTGCCGAAAACGGGAGAAAAAGGGACCCATTTTCCCATCGAAAGCTGTACATGACTGTTCAGAAATGGTAGAGCACGTGCAGAATCATGACCAACAGCATGTTAGTGCATTTTTTATGCTGCTTTTTGGTCCGATCAGGTCGTCGCGTCGCTTGCGACTGGACTTGTAGGGAAGCCAAGTATAGTTCCGTATCTTTGACCCTCAACCACTGGTAGGACGACTCGACAATTTCTAAGGTCGTCGCCTCTCGCAGAAAAAGCCGGGCGGGCAGCGGGCTGGTGCGGCTGCAGCGTCCGCTGAGCCTGAGCTCGACAATGTACGACAATGCGGACAGCGAGGAGCAAGGCGCTTCGGCTGTGGTGCTGCCTCCGGGTCACTACCGCGTCGGCTCCCGCGCGGAGTACGGCTGCCTGCCCCAGTACGAGATGACGGGCTCGTCCGTGCGCCGGTGCCTCTCCTCGGGCGAGTGGAGCGGCGTACCGACCACATGCATTCCGGGTAAGGTCCCGCTACGAGAAACACCCCACACAAACGATGACATCTACTTCTACCGCGAGACCCTAACCAGTAGACAGCTATCAGCGTTAACGTACCACACAAAGACCCCATGCTTGGATTATATATCTATTTATCCAGACAATTTGAGGAAGAGATGACGAGGTGGGACCTTAGTAGTTTAAGATCATCAATTTTTTCATCGGCCTCGTCTCGAAATCGCGCGTTACCACGACGCGTTTGAAATCCTGAACATCCCAAGTGCTTAATTTCGTTCTCCTTTATATATATATACCCCTCGTCTGCACCGGTAGCGCCATGCTCGATAGGTCAGGGTTATGAGCGCCTTCCTCCCGGACTCACTTTGCTCGCAGTGTGTGGCCGATCGGATTCGCCCAGAAGCCCGCTCATTTGGAACGGCAACGCATCCGACCTGGGCCAATGGCCGTGGCAAGCCGCCATCAGCGTCCGGAATGTGGGAAGCGACGACGACGCCAAGGAGGACGCAAAGAAGGACGAGTGGGTGCTCAACTGTGGCGGCAGTCTTCTCTCCGAAAGCTGGGTGCTGACCGCGGCCCACTGCGTCACCTACGAGTCTTCGCGCACGGTCATCCCTAGGGACATTCTGCGGGTGGCCATGGGAAAGCACTACCGGCAGAACGACAAGGACGACCAGCACGTTCAAGTCAGACAGGTCGAACGTCTCAGTCGCTCTCCCTGCTACACCGCCGCTCAATGGCGTACCTGTGTCGTTGTTCGCTCGTGCTTTGGATGATTGCATGTTTCTGCTCGAGCGCGAGTGTAAGTAGGTACAGATGCGTGCGTATAATGACGTCAGTTCGAGCGTCTAAGCGTCGACCGATCTTCTTGAGAGTCTCTATCTCAGTCCGAAGGCACTTCATGTGAAGGGTTTGTCCAGCGAAATAAGGGGACGCTGGTGCTAGAATACTCGAACACATTTCCTTAATGTTTGACTCTCTCTATAATTGCACTGCTAACGTACTCACACACAATTATTTATTTCTAAATTGTGCAGCCCAAGAATGCTGGTATCTAATTAAACCGTAAGCGACATGACATCAGTACTTATGTCGTAAGGGTGCCTGCAACGTGATAGGCACTCTTACGCCGGTCACCGTGACACTTGTTAGTGTGACGGTGAGACTTGGTCGTTACTGAGCACCTGACGTTAACACAGTTTTGTACCACTTGACAGGTACGGGAGATACACGTGAACTTCGACTACGATCCCAACTCGTTCGAGAATGACATCGCGCTGCTGCAGCTGGAGGAGCCGGTCGAACTGAGCCCCAGAGTTCGTCCCGTGTGCCTGCCGTCGGACCGCTCGGCCCGGGTCCATCTACAGGAAGGCGCGCTGGGCGTGGTAAGAGCACTGCGCGCGTCTGTCGCACCAGTATGCAGTGCACCTCCCTGCGTCGTTCTCCTGATTTCAAAAGAGCGGTTTCTTCCCGAGAAATGAGAACGTCTGGAAATCAGACCCCTTGTCGAAATTTCCTCTTATTTCACGAGCCCTTGTGGCCTCCTTTAGCTTCCACCACGCCAGAAGACGTTAAGTAGTTTACGACTTCCTAGATCGTATACCCAACTTCTCCCCCCGAGACGTATTTTGAGAAGCGCCGAGCGCGGACGCTGTGTTTTCGCGATGCTGTGTCCACGATATGTAGCTTAATTTTCAAGTAAGAAATATTCTCGGGTGTCTATTCCTGAAATGATTACGGTGCGGGCGTGATTTGCGTTCGATGGCACGTTAGTATATATTAGAGTTAACGTTTGCAACTGCCTGGCGGCATTGCATCCTTCGCTATTGTAGAGGAATAGTTTGGAGTCAGTGTAGTACGACTGCTAAGCTGGAGTCTTCAGCGTACGACAGGGTGACTCCAATGGAACATGCTTAACACGCCTCGGGGTTACAGTTGGGGGACACGTCTCGGGAGCAGTTTGGAGGGCGGCTGCACCACAGTGTGGTGCAGCGTCCCTCCAACTCGGGTTACGCTTCTCCCCTCAACAAGCGAGCTCGGTACTGTTCCGACCGATCAACCCCGTGTCCGCTTCGCAGGTGACCGGGTGGGGCCTGACAGAGACTGGCGAGTACGCGGGGGTCCTGAGCGAGGCCGTGCTACCCGTTGTTCAGAACGAGAAATGCCAGAAGGCGTACGAGACGGCGGGCCTCCCGCTCACCATCAGCGAGGCTATGTTCTGCGCGGGACATGCCAACGGGACGTCGGATGCCTGCAGCGGCGACTCCGGCGGACCCATGGTCTTCGTCGACGACACCGTTACGACGGAGAGGCGATGGATTCTGGAAGGCGTAGTCAGCTGGGGCAGTCCCACGGGGTGTGCCGTGGCCAACCAGTACGGAGGCTTCACCAGGGTCCACTCTTTCCTCAACTGGATACGCCAGTTCGTCTGAGTTCATCTCTCATTGTGCAGTCCCAGCTCCGCACCTCCGGCCAAGGAATTTGGATAACATCGGGTTGGTGCCGTGTTTTGGCTGCGACTGCCTAGAATGCACCATATCATTAGAATCTTGAAACGGCTGAAGTAATTATGCGTTGTAGAAGAGTCATGACACTATGATTTTCAAGTGTATCTGGTCAAGCGTTGAAAAAAAAAGCCCAAAACACGTGTTTTACTTTTTCACTTTAAATGCAAGCGTGGCGGAAGTTGCAAGAGCGAGCTCCGTACTTTCAACGTCCCTGCCAAGTACCCGCAGTAATTCAGTGCGAGCATCATTCAAGGCAACATGGTCGGACTTGTAGCTTGGACTTCGCTCTCATATAAAGTGAAACAAACTATAGTGGGAATGTACTTTGAACCATACACTCACAGAGAAGAGGGAATGTTAATGGACGCGTAACAACCAAAAGCCTCGTGTGAGACTTTCTTCCTTAGGCATCGTTTTTTCGTCGCTTCTCACGTTCCGGTTTCAAATTTCAACCCCCAACGTTTGCAAGTTTTATTTTTTTTTTCTTGTAATGGCCGGTAGCAGATTTCTTCCGTATTAGAGAACGAAAAAGTAAAATGTGTGGGCTCAGAAACGAGGGCACCTTAGCGCGGAGTATTGTTCGCTGCGCATGCTAGAAGCGCTAACTATCTGCTTTGGTTGAAGCCTCATCGGCTGCTCGAGGGCTCGTGCAGCGAGTGCTCCTCAAGGCTACCCGCTCGCGCTTGCACATCCTTCGCAGTTAGTCCATGCTAAAGTTAGTCGAGGTATAGACGATTGCAAGCAAGTCGACTGGCCGCCGCCATTTCTCTACTCGTGCAGACAAGCTAATGCAATTGCAAGCTTGCCAAAGCTATGTTCACGCGCAAGCTGAACGTGCTTGCACGCATCGGGCACCAGCAGGAGCGCGATACTTGCAATTGTTTATAGGAAGTATTAAAAAAAAATTGGGTTGTGTGGTATGTTTATACAGCCTAGAACTTGGTCTGCCTCACAGGGGCGACGAGTCTCCCAGCTGTAGATGAGCAATTTAGCCAGTGCAGTACAACCGCTAGCCTGGGGTCTTTAACGTGCACCACGCGGTAGTGATACACGACCGCACGCCGGTACGATGCTCATCCAGATCGAAACGGGCAGGGGTGGGGATTGAACCCAGAATCCCTGGGTTCTGCAGCGCGAGCTTTCGCTCCACGTGCTCCTAGGAAGTATTCACTGGCGGCCATAGCTGTGTGCGCGACTGCTGAGCGCATGCTGATGGCGAGCTTCCACAGTTCTTTTGTAACGTGCATTCCGCACCCTCAAGATTGCCGGTATTAGCAGCCTATTAATGTCGGCTCGTTCAGAGCACGCGCTCTAGACATCACTCACAAATATGGCGCTCAGTGAATACTCCTTATAGAATTGCACCGTCTGAGAATTGTTTACTCCTCCCAAATGAAAGTTTATTTCTTCGCGCGTTTGGGCTGCTTAAGTGATATCTGAGCGACATGCCGGTTTTTCATGCACGTAAGATTTTATGCTATATTTTTGTGCATGGGAATCTCGCGTACCTCTTGTAAATATCGGCTCGATGAACCAAACAATTTTATGAAATAAGGCAGTGTTCAATAAATGCCTCACATGCCTTCTGATAATCAACTTCCATGGCTTCCTGTACATTACCGCTTTTCAACCTTTGCCGTTTTCTTTGTGTATTCAGTTTTTTTTTCTATTTCTTTCTGCAAAGCTTTTCTGATGACCTGAGTGTATGAAATTAATTTGCCGTGTTTGTTTCGCGATGAACGAACTTCCAGGGTTGATAGGTGGCTTGGTTGCTTTGAGCTCTGTGAACGTGGTACTAGTCTTATACTGTACACCCGTGAGCGATATGAAGGTGAACAGCCCTCTTCTTGTTTTTGACGCTCCTGCAAGTTTTGGAACAAGGCTCTGTTCCAGAAGAGGGCTAGAACGCAAAGTTTAGACCCCCAAGCCACGTACCATTTGAGACGTTGAGAGTTAATACTGCTTTAGGGAGCCGTAAAACAGGCAAGAAACCGCGTAAGGTGTTCACCTTCATATTGCCGGCAGGTGTGCATGCGCGACGTGATATCTGAAAACTCGGCTATTTCTCTTGTTCACTTTATGTTTCATTCTCACCAAATAGCTGAGCTTTCGTGTAGGGCATTTTCACGTGGGCTGTTTCTAGACAGCAGGCCTTGCGCTGCTGGTCTGTCGCCAAAACAGCACGCTGGTTGTTCAACGTCGAAGAAAGAAATAGCGACCGCCAATGTTGCTCGACGAGGCTTTGAAGAGGGTTCGTCGCAAAGCTGACTGCGGTGTTTTCAATTGCGAACGCCTGATTTACAGTGAACTATTTCGTTCGTGTGTGCGGTATTTGTGCGTGTGCACTTGGGATGAGTGAAGTTCCTACTTTTCATGTAGCTTTTACAACTTTTTTTTTTCTATCGTGATCTTCTATCGGTGATGACTCTTTTGATTGAACAGATCACCTGAATGATATCGGTGGAAATTTGAAGGTAATTTTCAGGTTTCATTTATTCGTTCATCTATGCATGCTGCCCTAGTTTCTTTAACAGCCCTTCGATGCTAAAAAAATGTTTTTTTTTTATAAGTTAATTGGTGGTTTAAAACCACTTCCTACTTTTTCGTTTAAAAGTATCTGAAGGACTTAAGCGATGAGCTTCTTCAAAAAAAAATTCGAGAACTAGGAAAATGACTTCATGGTGAGTTCTAAGTCAAATATGACGAAGACATCACGTACTCGCGAAAAGCCCGGTAAAATCGAGAGTACTGTGCCGTGTCAAAGAGAGCCAACTGCCATTTGTGTTGCGGCCAACTTTTATTGTCGCGAGTTGTTCTCTCTACACACTCTAACAAAACCCCGTGCCTCTACTTTCCCGCGCAATACTTGGAGAGCCAATCACCGCAACCTACGGAGGCAGCTCAGCGAATGACGATGCCGAAACACATGTTTAGGCCAAAAAAACGCAGTCTTAGTTGCGACATTAAGCAATGCAAGCGTGACGTTTTGCATTGCTTAATGTCACAACTAAGACTGCGTTTTTTTGTCTAAACATATGTTTCGGAACCGTCATTCGCTGAGCTGCCTCCGTAAGCTGCGCTAATTGGCTCTTCAAGTGTTATGCGGGAAAGTAGACGCACGGGCTTCTTTTAGAGTGTAGTCACTGACAACGCAAGAAACGCAGGAAGTGGCACGTTATCTTCACGCGTCTTGTTTCCTGATTGGTTGTTCGGCGTTCTTATCGGTTAATGGCGCAATCTCATTGGCTGTGGAGCGATAACCAAATGATCGGGGCTCGCCACATTCTGCGGTTCTTAAGTTGTCGGTGACTCTACCAATTATTGATACCGTATTTACTCGAGTAATAGCCGCACTGTGTATGAAGAAAACCTGAGGGTTCGCTTTTCCGCGGAGCACGAAGATTGCCAATCAGCGCGATCGACACCATGATTTCAGCTGTTTACAGGACAGAGATAACTTCTTCGTGCGAAGATACCATCTGTGAAGATTGCATTTGTATGGAGAATCGTGTTCTCCATCTGGCCATTTGCTATGCTATTTATGCGCAACGCGATGATTGGTTGTATATGTATTCTGTGGGAAAGTAGACGCAAGGGCCTTGTTCATAAATAGTGCGGCTATTACTCGAGTAAATACGGTTGTAACAAGAGTGATTCTTTTTATGTCGAAACCCGCAACAAATGTCCACGTTGACGAATTTTCTGAATAAACGCAATAATCTAACTTACGTATTGTGCTATGTTTTCACTCAAGGTTGTAAACTACACATACTCGTTTTCAGCTAAAAAAAAGAAAAAGAAGTTTTGCGCATTGTTCCTACGCCGCGCGAAGTAGTTCTTACGAAATTTGGTTGTCGGAGGAAGAAGCGATGCTTTTTTGGCGTTTGAAGCGTGAATGTCTTGATAAGATAACATATACTTATATCTAACCTAAAATGCACCTACGCATATCTTAACTGTCCACATAAAGGGGGAAATTAGTAATGCTCCGCGAGGAACCGGACTTTTTTTTTACTACGGTTCTTGAGGTGAAAACGAGTATGTGCGGAGCGCAGGTTCGTCTGCTCCTTTTGCAGGGGTTGTGGTGACGTCAGAACGCCGAGCTTTGATTGGCTCTTGATTTATCCTTCAATCGGAGCCAATCGGAGCTCAGCGTTCTGACGTCACCACAACCCCCGCAAAAGAAGCAGACGAACTTGCGCTCCAGGGCCCCTAAACTCGTCCAACACAAAGTGTGGGCCGAAGTTGACGGAGCGCAACGATTGGCCCATCACGACGATGACTTCGCGGTTTTTTCGCCGGTGTCCAATCAGGGCGCTCCGCGAACTTTCGGCTCCAACTTTGTGTTTGACGAGTTTAGGGCTTCAGGTATGCAAGTGCTCGTTCCACATCGATGGCCAGGTCCTTTTCACGTATTTCTAGGTAGAAACCTATGCCCCTTTATTTTGCTCGGTAACTGTAGTTCACCTACAATTCTTGATAATTTTAACTAGTACAAGTTACTTTTCTTTAGGTAAACTTTTCCGGTAGCTTGCACAAAAATGAGAATGGTCCCATATTTGGTCATCGTGATCCCAAATAGCGGAATCGTAGGGAGTTAAACAGTCAAGACACGTATTCAGATAAATATTTAATCAAAAGAAGGGTGGAGAGTGACGTTGACGATAAGTGTAATCCAGATCGCCAAAATATTTTTTTGGTCATTAGCAAATTGCAGGAACCGTAGAGTTCACTCGTAAAAGTGTGAAATTAAATCTGCATTTTCACGGTTGTCTGCTAGCGGAATACCATTCGGGTGAGTATTCTGGCGTTTTGATAGAAATCAATGTCACGAATCTAAGTCTAGCCCAGAAAGACTGCACTTTCAGACAGTTTTGTCAGGAAAATACACAAAAACAATTCAAAACGACCACTTACCTGTTGGAACTGGAAAGAATTTTTCCGTTTAACGATGTATATTGTAAATGTATAGTATCTCTCCAGAGGTAATGAAAGAGCTGCGCGTTCGAAAGAAGCTTAGGAACGTCAGAAATAAGTGAAACAGGAAAAGCTCAAACGAAAGTGCACAATGGAAAATAAAAACCCACAGCTGGACGCAATAAACTGAAAT